AGGGCTGTTTTCACAGAATCACAGAATTGTAGTGGTTGGAAGGGACCTAATAGATCATCGAGGCCAACCAGGAAAAAAGAAAAAAAAAAACACAAAAAACCCCCCACCAACCCCACCCAAATGAACCACGTTGACTTGCCCTGGAGTATTTTAAGTGCGTATTATGAAAAGAAAATATTTTTATGGATTCTTATTCTTTTATAATTATGAGTGTAAGATGTAGCGACTCATTAAAATATTGGAAAGAGTGTTTTGAGCCCGGTGCTGGGAGCGCAGGAGGGGGCTCGGGAGGAAATGGCAGCTGGCTCTCGAGGAGCCAAAGCACCAGCCAAGCGCTCTGTTCCGTTTCTGGGCCGCGCGCTGGAGAGAATATTAAATCCCTGATGTTCCTCAGGGGGGGGAAGCGTGATCCGAGCGGTTGGAGATGCCGGGGAGGGGAGAGTTGGGAATCTCAGGACTGTTTTCTTGGCTCTGCGTGACCTTGAGTGTGTCGGGTGCCTCGTGGGTGCTGGGGGGGGGTACCTCCTCGCCCCGGGTCCCTGTGGTGATGGGGGGGATGCAGCTGCTCCCATCCAGGCGTTTCCAAGCCCTGCTCCCACCCTGGGACGCGCGGAGCTGCTTTTTGCAGGTGCTGGGCTTGCCTTTGCTCGCCCTCTCCAGAGCTCAGAGCTTCCAAAACCTGGCCTTGCTGTTTTCCTCTCTGCACAGGAGTCGGGCATTAATTAAGCTGCTATTAAACGCCCTGAGGATGTGAGCTGGAGGCTTGTGTTTCAAATGCAAAGCGACTTCCAGCCAGAGAGTTTTGTTCTCTGAACATGGCCAGGAGTGTATTCCTTGTCCCCTTCTTGTCCCTTTGCCCAAATAATTGTCCCGACTGTTGCAGTTGGGTTTTAGCTTTTAGTTGTGTTTTAGCTTTTACCACGGGCCCCTTTGGGTAACTTCTGGTGCGGCGTTTGAGGTCGGGGAGGGCGGAAGGGGACGTAATGGAGGAAGTTGCACATCTCTGAAGTTTCCTTGAGAGGCACCTGCAGGCAGAGAAGTTGCTCCCCTTCCTCCCTGCTGCCTTTAGAGCCGGGTGGGTACCAGTGCATGGTAAGAAGCTTTCTTTTGCAGAGCTCCTTGCTTTTTTCAGTCTTCATTTGAATTGCTTTTTCCTGGCCCACGAGAGCAATGTCTTAAAATGTCTGCAATGTGCTCTTAAAACGCTCTTGTCTAGAAGAGTTTACAAATGTGTCAGCTCCTTTGATCCCCTGAGCTCCCTTCTGAAGCCGTCGGATTATTTGACGCCGTAAAAAGGGGTTGCTTTTCTTCTTTTGAGGGCTCAGAATCCTGAGAGGCATTAACTGGGAAATCACCTGCCACCATCCTGAGCTTTTCCATATGGAACAGGCTCTGCCTGGGGGGGAGAATTGAAATCCAAATGGTGTGGGAGGGCCCCCCCCTCACCCAGGTGTCCCGCGGGAAGGGCGATGGGAGCGAGGAGCTCGGTGCAGCTGGGTCCAGGGAATCTCTGGGATGGGGGATTTGCAGCTGGAGCCACGAAGCTGAGTTCATTTCCTGAGCGAGCGGGAAGCGGCGGGTGCTGGGGGAAACTGGGCAAAAAGGAGTCTTCCTCAAAACCCTGGGACTGAGCCTGAGAGCGGCCGGGGAGGCATTTCTCCCACGAAAACCCAATGTGTGGGGCTTTATTTTTAGGTGGAGGATGTGGAGGGGTGAGCAGGTGTTCTTGGACGACTTATTTTTAAAACAAAAACACTGCTTGGGCGCTACAAAATTAGCCACCGGGTTGGTTGCCCTGAAAAGATGCTCGAATGGAAAACTTTCTGACCTCTCCCTTCCCCAAGCGCGTGGAATAAAAAGGTGCGAGGCCGGCGCTCGCTCCCTGGGGGGGGGCCATGTCAGTGGAAACTGGGTTTGGGGATTTGGGGTGTCTCAGGCATTTGATCTCTGTCCTGTGGCGTGTGCCCTGCGCCTTCCCCGAGCAGCACCCCCAGAATAACTGAAGTTGCTGAGAAATACCAGGGTCCATCAAAGGAGGTTCAGGGCCGGGAGCGGTGATGTGAGGAAGACAAATGGTTGTGGTGAAGAGGGGGGGGTGGCACGGGGAGGGCTGCGCGTGGACACCGGCGAAAAAGAAAGAGGGTGTAAATTGATATTGGAAAATCCTCAGGGAGGGATTCTGGGGGGGAAGCACGTACACCCGGACGTTAGACTGGGACAGATGCGAAGCTTCAGTCATTGTTGGCTCCTCTGCCTCCCCAGCACTGCAGCAAACACCCTTATCTCTGGGTCCAGCCCCTTGCTCTCGGGAGCTGCTGCAAGTTTCTGCTGGTGCCGATTTCCGCTGGCTTTCAAGTGAAAACAGCTTCGTCCTTGCCCAACAGCTGTGGCTTTTACTCCGCTGGGCTCTTCTGCGTCACCTCGGGTCCCAAAGCTGCTCTGGGTTGAGGCTGGGGGGCCCAGTTATCTGCAGGCACCAGGCAAACCTTGCTCTGGAAGGGTCTGGGTACCATCCTGCCCTCCCTGCCCATCCTCCTCCTCCTCCTCCTCAGGGCTGGGTCCTGCTGGGCGCTGATCCCTGAGCAGGGGCGGTTGGCTGCGGGCTTTATCGGTGGTGCCAGGAGAGCTGCTGCTGGGGGAAGAGAGGGATGGGTCAGTGGCAAAGCAAACAGCAGGGTTTTTGCAAATAAAGAGTGGGGAGAGGCCGTAGGGAGCGCAGTGGGGCAGGGAGCAGGGGGGGCCAGGACCATCCCTGCCACCCGTGCTGCCCTTTTTCCTCTGCCTTTGCCTCCTCCAGCCTCTGCTCCCTCAGGAAGCTGCTCATTCCTCTCCTAAAAAGGACAGTTAAATGCCACCCAAAGGACAGCTAAGACCTCCTAAAGCTCCTGTCAAAACAGCGGCGGGGCCACACAAAAGCTGATCCAGCCCAAGGATCCAACATCTCTCTCTTCCCTCTGGCTCCCCCGCTCTGTTTGCATTTCTCTACCTCCCCATCACCCCTAATCCGGGCTTGGAAGGACTCATCCTGCTCCCAGCTGGTGGCCATGGGGGTCAGCCCAGGGTCCCTGCTCTCACCATTCCCCCCAGCTGGCGGCCGTGGGGTCCCCCCTCAACCCGCTCTCACCATTCCCCCCAGCTGGTGGCCATGGCCGCTCCACTGTGGCTGCTGCTGGCCCTGCTGGGCTGCACCACGGCACTGGATCCTGCCCTGGAGGAGGCCTGGGAAGGGTGGAAGATCCTCCATGCCAAGGAGTACCTAGGGGTAGGTCCTGTTCCCTCTAGATTCCCCAACACGCGTGGGGTTGGCTCCAGAGGGTCTTACCCAGAGCCACCCACCCCATCCCGTGCTCCTGGGGGACATTTCTGATCCTGCTGCTCTGCCCGGTGTCAGGAGGCCGAGGCCGCCCGCCGGGAGGTTTGGGAGAAGAACCTGAGGCGCATCCAGCAGCACAACCTGGAGGAGTCGCAGGGGCAGCACGGCTTCCGCCTGGCCATGAACCACTACGGCGACCTGGTACTGCCCATGCACCCACCACCTTCCCTGGGGACACCTCCCTGCACCCCAGGCTTGATCCAGGGATTGGGGACCCCTCTCTGCACCCTGGGTGTGATCCAGTCACCTAGGACCCCTCCCTGTACCCCAGGTTTGATCCGGGGACCAGGGACCCCTCCCTGCACCCTGGGCTTGATCCAGGGATTGGGGACCCCCCCTGCATTCTGGGTGTGATCCAGGGACCCCTCTGTGCACCCAGGGCTTGATCTGGGGATCCCTCCCTGCACCCTGGGCTTGATCCAGGGATTGGGGACCCCTCTCTGCACCCTGGGTGTGATCCAGTCACCTAGGACCCCTCCCTGCACCCCAGGTTTGATCCAGGGACCCCTCCCTGCACCCTGGGCTTGATCCAGGGATTGGAGATCCCCCTTGCATTCCAGGTGTGATCCAGGGACCCCTCTGTGCACCCAGGGCTTGATCTGGGGATCCCTCCTTGCACCCTGGGCTTGATCCAGGGATTGGAGATCCCCCTTGCATTCCAGGTGTGATCCAGGGACCCCTCCCTGCACCCTGGGCTGGATCCAGGGATTGGAGATCCCCCTTGCATTCCAGGTGTGATCCAGGGACCCCTCCCTGCACCCTGGGCTGGATCCAGGGATTGGAGATCCCCCTTGCATTCCAGGTGTGATCCAGGGACCCCTCCCTGCACCCTGGGCTGGATCCAGGGATTGGAGATCCCCCTTGCATTCCAGGTGTGATCCAGGGACCCCTCCCTGCACCCCAGGTTTGATCCGGGGACCAGGGAACCCTCCCTGCACCCCGGGCTTGATCCAGAGATTGGGGACCTCTTGATGCACCCCGGGCTTGATCCAGGGATTGGGGACCCCCCCTGCATTCTGGGTGTGATCCAGGGACCCCTCTGTGCACCCAGGGCTTGATCTGGGGATCCCTCCCTGCACCCTGGGCTTGTTCCAGGGATTGGGGACCCCTTGATGCACCCCAGGCTTGATCCAGTCACCTAGGACCCCTCCCTGCACCCCAGGTTTGATCCAGGGACCCCTCCCTGCACCCTGGGCTTGATCCAGGGATTGGAGATCCCCCTTGCATTCCAGGTGTGATCCAGGGACCCCTCTGTGCACCCAGGGCTTGATCTGGGGATCCCTCCTTGCACCCTGGGCTTGATCCAGGGACTGGGGACCCCTTGATGTACCCCAGGCTTGATCCAGTCACCTAGGACCCCTCCCTGTACCCCAGGTTTGATCCAGGGACCCAGGACCCCTCCCTGTACCCCAGGTTTGATCCAGGGATGGAGGACCCCTCCCCGCACCCAGGGCTTGATCCGAGGATCAGGGATCCCCAACTTGCTCCACTGGGACCTGCAGCCCCCCGGCTGGGCTGCTTCCCGGGGGTCAAGCGGCCGATGGGGAGCCACGGTGCTGCTGGCCAGGGACTGGTGGCATCACACGAGTTTTCCCTTGGTGACCTGCAGACGGACGAGGAGTTTAACCAGCTCATGAACGGCTTCACCCCGGCGTGGCAGGAGGAGCCGGTGCTGCTCTTCCAGGCATCAGAGGACCTGAAGACCCCGGCGGAGGTGGACTGGCGAGCGAAGGGCTACGTGACGCCCGTGAAGAACCAGGTGGGCATGAGGTGGTGGTCTGACCAGGGCTGTGTAATGGGTGCCAGGAGCCTGGGCAGCAGAAACAAGCAGCAGCATCCTCCCAAGCACCAAAAAACCTCTGGGCAACCTAGAGAATGCAGCTGGAGGGCAACGCTGGTGGGTCACAGCGTTCCCCTCTGGTGAATTTTGGGGCAAGGCCGTGACCTTCCTGCTGTCCCCATCTCCCCCAGGGTCACTGTGGGTCGTGCTGGGCCTTCAGTGCCACGGGGGCTTTGGAGGGGCTCGTCTTCAATCGGACGGGGAAGCTGGCAGCGCTGAGCGAGCAGAACCTCATCGACTGCTCCCGAAAGTTGGGCAACAACGGCTGCCGCGGCGGCTACATGACCCGCGCCTTCCAGTACGTGCACGACAACGGGGGCTTGAACTCGGAGCAGGTCTACCCCTACGTGGCCACGGTAAGGGACGGCGGGTGGCCTTGGGGACACTGCAGAGCACGTCCCAGCCCTTGCCATCAGTCTCTCCCTCCTCTCAGGACACCTCCAGCTGCCGGTACAACCCCCGGGACAGGGCGGCCAATTGCTCCACCATTTGGATGGTGGCCCAGGGCAACGAGGTGGCTCTGGAGCAGGCGGTGGCAACCGTGGGCCCCATCTCCGTGGCGGTGGACGCCAGCAGCTTCTCCTTCCACTTCTACAAGTCTGGTACCGTCTGGCTCGGGGGTGGGCTCGCCGTGGGGGGTGGGCTGCTTGTGGAGCACTGGAGTTTCCCCAGGGCACCCACCCCAGGGGAACGATAGGATCCACCACCCTGCTTCCAGCATGAGAAGAAGCAATGGGGGTTGCCCCCCCCCCCAGCTCATCCTGGCTCTGCTCTCCCCAGGCATCTTCAGCAGCATGCTCTGCAGCCAGAAGGTGAACCACGGGATGCTGGCCGTGGGCTACGGCACAAGCCAGGAGAACGGGCGCAACGTGAGCTACTGGATCTTAAAGAACAGGTAAGGGCTGAGGGTGTCACCCCAAATCTGCCCCCCCTTCCACCCCTCTGCATGGCCTGTCCCCCACTCCTGCCGGGGTCGGAGCTGCGTGGTTGGAGCATCCTCGTGGAGCATCCCTGAGTGCACCCTCAGTGAGTTTTGGGGACAACACCACGCTGTGGGGAGCAGCTGACACGCTGGAGGGAGGGGATGTGGGACCAGGAGAGGTGGGGCTGTATGGACATCATGAGGTTCAACCAGGCCAAGTACAGGGTCCTGCCCCTGTAGCATGAGAAGCAGCAATGGGGGCTTGTTCCCCCTCAGCTCACCCCGGCTCTGCTCTCCCCAGGCATCTTCAGCAGCATGCTCTGCAGCCAGAAGGTGAACCACGGGATGCTGGCCGTGGGCTACGGCACAAGCCAGGAGAACGGGCGCAACGTGAGCTACTGGATCTTAAAGAACAGGTAAGGGCTGAGGGTGTCACCCCAAATCTGCCCCCCCTTCCACCCCTCTGCATGGCCTGTCCCCCACTCCTGCCGGGGTCGGAGCTGCGTGGTTGGAGCATCCTCGTGGAGCATCCCTGAGTGCACCCTCAGTGAGTTTTGGGGACAACACCACGCTGTGGGGAGCAGCTGACACGCTGGAGGGAGGGGATGTGGGACCAGGAGAGGTGGGGCTGTATGGACATCATGAGGTTCAACCAGGCCAAGTACAGGGTCCTGCCCCTGTGTCGGGGCAATGCCCAGCACAACCCCAGGCTGGAAGGAGAATGGCTGGAGAGCAGCCCCAAGGAGAAGCACATGGGGGTGTTGGTGGGTGAGAAGCTCCTCTCCCCAGGCATCTTCAGCAGCATGCTCTGCAGCCAGAAGGTGAACCACGGGATGCTGGCCGTGGGCTATGGCACAAGCCAGGAGAACGGGCGCAACGTGAGCTACTGGATCTTAAAGAACAGGTAAGGGCTGAGGGTGTCACCCCAAAGCTGCCCCCCCCTTCCACCCCTCTGCACGGCCTGTCCCCCATTCCTGCTGGGGTCGGAGCTGCGTGGCAGGAGAATCCTTGTGGAGCATCACTGAGTGAACCCTCAGTGAGTTTTGGGGACAACATCCACGTGGGACCAGGAGAGGTGGAGCTGTGTGGACATCATGAGGTTCAACCAGGCCAAGCACAGGGTCCTGCCCCTGTGTCAGGGCAATGCCCAGCACAACCCCAGGCTGGAAGGAGAATGGCTGGAGAGCAGCCCCAAGGAGAAGCACCTGGGGGTGTTGGTGGGTGAGAAGCTCCACACACCCCAACAACATGTGCTGGCAGCCCAGAAACCCCCCGCACCCTGGGCTGCATCCCCAGCAGCGTGGCCAGCAGGGCCGGGGGGGGATTCTGCCCCTCTGCTCTGCTCTGGGGAGACACCCCCCAGTGCTGCCTCCAGCTCTGGGGCCACCATCATCAGAAGGACGTGGAGCTGTTGGAGCGGGGCCAGAGGAGGCCACGGAGATGCTGGGAGGGCTGGAGCCCCTCTGCTGGGAGGGGGGGCTGAGAGAGTTGGGGGGGTTCAGCCTGGAGAAGAGAAGGCTCTGGGGAGACCTTCCAGCCCCTTCCAGTCCCTCAAGGGGCTCCAGGAAAGCTGGGGAGGGACTCTTGATCAGGGAGGGGAGCCCTAGGACAAGGGGGAAGGGTTTGACACTGAAAGAGGGGAGATGGAGCTGAGCTGTGGGGAAGAACTTGTTTGGTGTGAGGGTGGTGAGAGCCTGGCCCAGGTTGCCCAGAGAAGCTGTGGCTGCCCCATCCCTGGAGGGGTTCAAGGGCAGGTTGGAGGGGGCTTGGAGCAACCTGGTGTGGTGGGAGGTGTCCCTGCCTGCTGGGAATGGTGGGATTCCTGTGCCTGTGGGAATGCGGATGTCCTCATTCTCCATCTCTTCCTGCAGCTGGTCGGAGGTGTGGGGCGAGCAGGGCTACATCCGCCTGCTGAAGGGCACCAACAACCACTGCGGGGTGGCCAACCAGGCCAGCTTCCCCATGCTGTGAGCCGGGACACCCCTCCCTCCCCGCCGGGGCTGTGGATCCACGGCTGTTTCCTTCTGGAAAGGGGCTTTTGTTCATGTGCGGCGGTGAGCAGCAATTAAAAGTGGCATGGCTAATCACTCTGCGCCTGCAAATGGTGGCCAGGCAGGGTTTGGTGGCCGAGGAAAGGCTGAGCAACCTGGTCTGGTAGGAGGTGTCCCTGCCTGCTGGGAACGGTGGGATTCCTGTGCCTGTGGGAATGCGGATGTCCTCATTCTCCATCTCTTCCTGCAGCTGGTCGGAGGTGTGGGGCGAGCAGGGCTACATCCGCCTGCTGAAGGGCACCAACAACCACTGCGGGGTGGCCAACCAGGCCAGCTTCCCCATGCTGTGAGCCGGGACACCCCTCCCTCCCCGCCGGGGCTGTGGATCCACGGCTGTTTCCTTCTGGAAAGGGGCTTTTGTTCATGTGCGGCGGTGAGCAGCAATTAAAAGTGGCATGGCTAATCACTCTGCGCCTGCAAATGGTGGCCAGGCAGGGTTTGGTGGCCGAGGAAAGGCTGATGTTTTTCCTGGTGGGAAAGACAAAAGACGGTGCTTGGTGAGAAGCTCTTTCTCCTCGCTTTTCCCCCCAGCCTGGCCATTCCTTCCCCTCCCAAGGCCCCTTTTCCTTCCAGCCCAATCCCCAAGGCCACCAGCTGGGGCTGGGGCTTCAGCTCTGCCCGACCCCCGGCCCCTGCGAGCCCAGCTTGATGTTTTTCCTGGTGGGAAAGACAAAAGACAGTGCTTGGTAACAAGCTCTTTCTCCTTGCTTTTCCCCCAGCCGGGCCATCCCTTCCCCTCCCAAGGCCCCTTTTCCTTCCAGCCCAATCCCCAAGGCCACCAGCCGGGGCTGTGGCTTCAGCTCTACCCAACCCCTGGCCCCTGCGAGCCCAGCTCTTTTATAAATAATGATTTTACCCCATTAAACCTGTGCGACAAGGCAGAAAACGAACCTTTCCGCCCTCAAATTGTGCTTTTTATTTCCTCCCCGGGGGTCGGTCTCTTTTCTCTCAAGTCACAGGCGACAGGACAAGAGGAAATGGCCTCAAGTTGCGCCAGGGGAGGTTCAGGCTGGATATTAGGAAAAATTTTTTCACTGAAAGGGTTATCAGCCATTGGAATGGGCTGCCCAGGGAGGTGGTTGAGGCACCATCCCTGGAGGTGTTCAAAAGACGGGTTGATGTAGTGCTGGGAGACATGGTTTAGTGATGGTGTTACTTCTTGTTTGTTGCGGGTGTCTATTTTTGTCAAAGTTCGGTTGATGGTTGGACAAGATGATCTTTAAGGTCCCTTCCAACCTGGAAGATTCTGTGATTCTGTGAATAATCTGGGGGGTTTAGTGCCACCCAC